TGATTTTGCAGCATTGGGACATTAATGATAAAATCATTTTTTTTTAAAGTAGAGTTATTCTAGGAAAGTGTGAATTTCAATTTAGGAACATACACAAGGGATATAGTAATAAGTACAAGGCAGAACGCTTGATTGAAATAAGCAAGAACAGAGCCAAGGCTCAGAAGACACGAAGTTCTGTTTTGTGACCTTTGCTGGGGAGGATGGAATGGGATAAGACACAGTGAGGGTGGAACAATGCGTCATCAATGATCTCAACAGCAGACTAAACATGCTTGGCACAGCCCTGGGTTCTGGGTGTCTGGCCATTGGGTACGCTGGTGAGCTAAATTCAGACCTTGACAGTTTATGTTTATGATGAAAGTTATACTGGTGCTTTCAGATTTAAATAAAACTTTCATTTAAAAACTATCATGATTTAAAATGCTTTTCTATTAAACAAATTCAGGAAAAGGCAAAGATGACATTAATTAAATATTTTAAAAATACAGACAAGCCTTTTCTATTTGTCACAGACCTGTTCTTTATGACAAGTTACTTTTAAGTTTGCTGTTGATCAGAGGGGGAAGCCAAGTGCAGATTTTGACTGTGGATATTATCTTCCAGTCATTAGTTAGCTTTCCCAAATACTGTCCTTTGAGGATTGTATGTGGGCTCACCTCAAATATGTGTTGTTGGGAAGACTCAAGCTACAGGGCTGGGTCAAGTGTCACAATTACCTTAAAAACATAACTTTAAATGCAACTTCGGGTGATGAATTTTATTGAATTTCTTGAGTATAAAGCAATTGAAAAATGCAGTCATTTTTTGTACCACTAGAACATTATTTGGTGGGTCACTGGGTCCAAACACAAATGTAAAAATTCATGTACAACTTAAGAAGTTTCAGAGGCCTTAAGGTTGATGTCAGTTCAATCATTCACAAACTGAAGCCCAGAGTGGGAAAATGATTTGCTAAAGGTTATGTTTTACCTTGTAGTTTAAAAAATTTCATTCACTTCATAGTTCAGGAGGCATTTTATTCACTTTAAATATGACATATAGTTGCATTTTACACACCGAGTTTACAGCTAATTATCTAGTTGAAAGAATAATAAAAATGGTGAACTGATGGAGGGAAGGCTGATTCTCTTCACTGTTAGTTAGAAATTTCAATTTGGGGTGAGCAAAGTGTGAAAGTGATAAAACAATAATGTCGACCAACAAGTTGCAATGCAAGATTCTTTAATCCTGGAAGATTCAGCTAACTGCCTCTGGTATCAGTCCTCCCTGCATGAGTGTCCCTTAATAGCATGGGTATTTTCTGCCCCATAGACCCATAAGAAAAAGGACTGGTGCCAGCCAAAATGTGTTTAGCTGTAATTTTTTAAAACTGTATTAGGAGACTAACTTAGACCCCCATGGTAGTCCTCATAATGTGAATATGGAAATTTCTTGTGGAAGCTAACATTTTAGTATGTGAACAAAAGCTCACTTATGTAGTAGAAAAAAACTCTGAAACAAGATTCTACTTTTCCACTTGGGTTAGCCAGGCTATGGGTCTTTTATGTGTTTCAGCTTATTTTTCCTTATTTTAAGGTTAATAATACTCACTCTGTTTAGTTTCCAGAGATATGGTAAAGATCAAATTATTTCTTTTATGCCAAGAGTGAAAGTTGTGTTGAGACACCTGGTTGAGAGGTTCTTTGTAGTTTGAAGTTTTGTTTTATTATAATAGTGTTTGGGTTTTAGTTGACCAAATTATGATTATATTAATATTTCTTTGCTTGTTAAAAATAAGGTATTCCATTTTATGCCCATCCATTTTATAGGCATTTTGATCACAAATGAAATTGGATGATTAATTTGACTCCCCAAGAATTCTGCTTTCTGAATCTGTGAGGCTTAATTTTAACAAATGATTTTTCACTTTAGGATTCTGTATGATGGTCCTACTCTCTAGGGTAGAAAGTGTGGAAAAAGGTGGCTGGCCTTGAGAAATATGCAGTTGCTGTGCTGGAGTTCTTTCAGGGTTGAAATGGAGTCATAAAACCAGAAATCACAGAATAGTTTCTAATTTCAAAGACAGACTGCCTGACCTTGCCTACATAGTTCAGGTAGAAACTAAGAAGGAACATGGAGAAGGAAATTGAGTTCCCGTCCAGGTGACACACAACCCCCAAAATATCCAGTAATACATCTGGAATTACAATGTGGGCTGGTCACCTTAGGGCCCAACAAGCTCTCACCCAGAAATGTGTTTTTCCTGTAGTCTTATTCTCATTAGACAAAGTTCTGATTAAACCTTTACACTCCCCGCCCCCCCACAAACAATACCCCACGCCCTTACCGTCATTCATTTTTGGTTCTCTATCTTCCTGAACTAGAGCCTACAATTTAACTTAATATGAAAGAATTCTTTCTGATACACATTGTGTTCTTTGGCTCCTTTTGAACAAGTCTTCCTTTGAAGTCATTAAGGGGACTTTCCAGATACTTAGACTGCCGCTGTTTTGGATTTTTTGCTTCATGTTTCACACCCCAGAGGAAGGAAATTTACGTGGATTAAGGGCTTCCAGTGTGCCTGGAATTGTCCCATTTGTCAGCAGTCACCTTCCGGCTGCCTCATTCCGTGAATGACTTTTCATTCTCAATGTAGTAATTATTCGTGTGCCTGGCTGGGCCCTGTGTTGGCAAGGGGGCAGCACCGTAGTGGCTTAGGTGACCTAGTCATTGCATTGGCATCGGCATCGGCTAGATGGACATTTTGAAGTATTTTTTTTTTAAGTTGTGTAATATTAAACATCAGCAGTTTAACTGGTAATATTTGTGTTTAGAGGTGAAGTGGCGTCATTCAACGGCTGGGAAAATGAATTGAACTTGTGAGCGTGGGTTGTGACTACAGACAGGCATACTTTGTCCCCCAAGGTGGTAAAATAGGATGGAGAGCATTCTAGCTTGATTTGCAGTGTTGCCCTGATAGTGAGATCGTTGCCCAGGGATATTTGTGTCTGCTTGATTAAATGAGGGAGGTTCCTAGTTCTATAATCATTGCTGTGTCAGTTTTGAGAAGCTTAAAATGCCTTTTGGCACTTTTGCTTGCTTTTCTTTGTGTGTGTGTGTGACTCTTGAAAAATGTAATATTTAAGGAAGGGAAATTATTATTAAACATCCAGGGTCTCTTAATTCAGAAAAGATGGTCAAGGCATTTCCAGCACAGTGAGAAGTAAGTATCCCGAGGATCTTGGCCAGAGGAGCAAACCGTGTCTGCACGGCAATGGTCCTCTGAGTTCAGACCTACATGACTTCCTAGCTGTGTGAAGTAGGGTTCAACTAGCCCAAGCCTCAGCTTCCCATCCTGTAAATTGTGGGTTACAACATTTTGAGGCTTAAAGAGATGATGAATGTAAAAGACCTGGGACAGCCCATGTGCCCAGAGAAGGCACTCTATAAATGGGATTAGTTAGAAGCATCTTCAGGAGCTACATTTTCAGTCATTAGTTTATTCCTGTACCTCATTAGAGGTACAGGATTTGGAATCAGGGTAAGTAGAATCAAGTCAACCCACTGTGAGTGAATTTTTTGTGTGTGCCCATTGGTATCTAAAGGGTCAGGGATGGCCCAAGCTTTTGAGCAGAACTAGTGTGCAGCCTCAGCCCTCCCCTCCTCCTCCCCGCCCTCCCCTCCCCCTCCCCGCCTTCCCCTCCCCCAGCATCCTCCTTTGCTTCAGAGCACAGTTCAGCCCTTGACCCTTCCTCCAGGTGACCTTTGTGTACTTCCTGCGGCCCTGGCCCTGGCCATCCCTCCCTTGCCACCTGTCGGAAGGTGTGAGTTATAGCAAAGGCTGCCACCACCTCCACAAAGATGAAGCCTGTTGGGGACATTTTGCCCTTCATTCCTGCCATGCCTTGCTTACTACTTTCTCTAGCAACCAAAGATCCTTGTCAGGAGGGCAAAGTCCACACGCAATTTTGTCATTAGCCTGCCAGCCGGTATGTATATTGGTCCAAATAATGGAGCCTTTGAATAAAAGGTGGCTAGGGTTGGAATGGCCTCTTAATGACTGAGAAAAGAACAGGTGGGCTTCGGGGCTATCCACCTCCCTACGCACCTGGACTTTCACGCCTACTCTGCGTTTTGCTCCAACAGAAGCTGGATATTTGTAATTTTTCCATGTGGCCGAGCCTCAGGGAGGGTGGTCAGTGGAACAAGTGCAGAGAAAATGGTGTGCAGCAAGTATTTTTCCTTCTTCAATCAAACCCCCTTTGTCTCTCCTTTAAAGCATATTATCAGAAGGTTTCACGAGAGGAAGGGGAGAATACACAGTGCCCTGCTGTTGCTAGGTAACCAGAAAAAACCCAAATCCGGTCATAGTCGCTATTGGCATGACTTTTCCCTAGGAACCTGGCTACTCTTGCTTTGTGTGCTCTTGCTTTAGTACTTACTTTGTGTAGTATTAACAGATTTGTATAATGCTGAGGCTGGAGGGTCTCTTTCATTTTTCAACTTCTTTCTCCTGCTCCTTGCCTACATCAGCAAAGTCCCAGATAACGTTATTTGAGTCTTGAGGTCAATTCTTGACCTTGAGATATTCTGAGGGAAGGTGCTGTGCAGATGTAAATATGGTTTATTTCATAGAGCTGAAGTATATTCTGTATTTCCAAGGCTTCCACCCATTTTAAAAAAATAAATGGATACCCCCTTCTCAGCAGTAGCAGTGATTTAACCTTTCATGAGTGGTAACCCGTCTTTATTCACTGGACACTTCTGGGAGTATTTTGTTTAAAGGTAAATTTTAGCCACAGGAGACACTTGTGCACACAGCTGAACACATCTTAATTGATATTGGCAAAAACGTTAGGTAGCAGTTATGTTCCTTTCTCCCTGGGCTCGGCCATTCTCTCTATGGCTGACGATATGGGCACTGCATTTCCCAATCTTACAGAGCTCTGAGACTGAGACGTCTACCTGGAGGTCCCATACCTATCCTGTAACCTGTGCTGTCTGTCTGTCTTTTGCAGATTTGGACACCTCCCAGGCTGCTCCCCCAAGCCCCGACGACTCATATTCACACCACCCTCAGCTGCAGAAATTCATAACAGAAGCAAAGCTAAATCTACAGACAATGACCAGACAAGACAGGGAAATTGGAGATGGAGCTGAAGAAAATATTGTTTACCTCTAAGTGTGTTGTCATTTTTCCAAACAAAACAAAACACTGGCACTTTTGGGAGAAACTTTTTTATTTTCCATTCCTTACATATGTGTGATTGTCTACATCCAAATTGCTTTAAGAATAATATTTAATATTTCATGCAAGTTCATTTAGGGGACATGAGTCTAATAATTAAATTATTGAAAGCAACCCTGTTCGTATAATCTTTAACTTATCACACCTAACTTCAGATTTCTGGAGGACAAACTAACTTGAATTAGCTGAAGTATTTTAAAAAGTTGTTTTGACCCTACGATAAAATTCCACACTGCATTTTCTACCGGATCATCTGGATTTCAAAATGTCTTTTAAGATTTCAATGACGCAATTTGGATTTACAGAGTGGTATTCACATTGGATGACCTTTCAGGGTCCCAGCAATTGCTTATCAAGAGTAGCCTTCCTGCCCAAAAAGGCAGAAGAGGATGTGGGAAAGGGCTTTTCTTGGCTAGTTTTTATGTGCTAATTTCCTCTGGGGTCATCTCTTACAGTCACCATTCACCCAAGGTGTCCTGCCTGGGCATCTGTTGTGCCGCTGGGCCACAGACACAGTCTGGACACACTTAGGACCTGAGCTGTGTGTCCCGCCTCAGCAAGGCAAGTCCATTGTGATGTAAATAGTGAAACTCCATTAGAGGCCTAGCTTCTGTCAGCTGGCTTGTCCCCACTGGCACCTAGAGCACCAACAACTACCACTCACTGGAAGAAACTCTTCCCTGCAGGTTTTTGAGGACAAAAACTGCTCACTCTTGGTGAAGCTTGCTGCCTGGATACATTTTTCTGCAAAGAAAAACTGGTACATCCTGCCTTCAGAGTGCTATTGGTCTCTGCATGAGGAACCAGGAAATATTTTCATCTTGTTCAGAATTACTTGTACATGTTTTGGTGTCAATAAATATCTTTTACCTCATTATTTTACTTTGTAATTTTAACATTAAGCATAGGACCATAATAAAACATTTCATACGCACATGAAATCTCTTCTTATGAAAACTGAAAATAAAGGAGGACTATTAAATTCATTTACAATTGTAGCACTTGCTGGGAGAGAGAGGTGATAGGAAGGGAAAAAAATTCACCCAGATCCCAATGTTTTTTTCTTCTACTAAATTTGTAAGTTGTATATCTACATTATATTTTCACTTAAGGGAAAGTCAAATTTTAGTTTTTAGAAAAGCCTTTTCTAGGGCATTCTTTTTCTGACTTTTGCTGCTTCTGACTATTGTTGTCATAATTATATTTAAAAAATTCAGTGACTAATCTTTTCACAGAATAACTATAACTTATTAAAATTCTAGTCAATCACTTCATCCCCAAGCTGAACTCCTAAATTATAAGATGCATCTTCCATCCCTAAAAACATCTAGAAAAAGAAATTCCTCTTTCTCTAATAAAGTCTATTCCAGAACCCCATATCTCTTGTATGGATAGCACACAGATATTTCAATCTAAATCTTTGCTCCGATAGCTATAAATATCTTCCCTCTTTTCACGACAGTGGATATAGAAATTGTGAAAATATGTAAAAATGTTCAAAATCCTCATGAGGTTCTTCAAAAATATGTGTGCTCAGCCAGTTTTCAAGTCCTACAAATCTGGGGTCTTCATGCAGTCCCCCTGGGGAAGCCTGAGCATTTTTGAGATGCCTATAGTCATAGATTCCTCCTGGTAATTCTTATTTAATATGGCATTTCAATTGAATATAACTAAATTTCAAAGCTTTCTTGATAATTCCTTCCTTTTCACTTTGTCCTCACTGTGTAATGAGCTCAGATCCCGCTATGGTCTGAACATTCGTGCCCCTCCCCAAATTCCTATGTTGAAAACCTAGTCGCCAAAGCATTGGTTTTAGGAAAGTGATTAGATCATGAGGGCAGAGTCCTCAGGAACAGGATTATTGCCCTCATAGAAGAGGCCCCAGAGAGCTTGCCCCTTCACCATGTGTAGGATGCAGCAAGAAGACACCTTCTGTGAGCCAGGAAGTTGGCCCTCACCAGACACCGAAGCTGCTGGTGCCTTGATCTTGGACTTCCCAGTCTCCAAAACTGAGAAATAAGTTTCTGTTGTTTATAAGCCACCCAGTTTATAGTATGTTGTTATAGTAGCCCAAACAGATTAAGTCACTCCATGACTCCAGTACAAATTTACAAAGCCTAAGAGAAGACCACTTTATTTCCCAAGATCATGGATGAGTTTCCCCCAAAGGATCTACTTTCCCCACCAGGTTAAGAATTTATAAAAATCACTCATCCCTTTAGAGATTTGTCCTGGAAAGAAAAGCAACGTTTTTGCTCTGTCCCTTCCAAGCTACGTGAGTTTATGCGCTATCTCATTTAGAGTCCGAGCTAGTCTGCATTTCCTCAGGACTGCATAATCGCTGGGATCGTGCAGCACTTTCCAGCCCACTCACAGTTGAAGCCCTGTTCATTCAGAAAAGGGTGAAAACACTTGCTGTTTTTACAGCCAAGGGGTATGTGTGTGAGTTATGTAAGGGGAAGAGTGTGAGCATAATTAGATCATAGGATGACAAGTAAAAAGGAACATGTAATATGTATTTCGTCCTGTGACCTAGGGCCACCTTTCAAATTCAGAACCAACCTGAGGTTATTGATGTTCAACTCCTCTGCCTTTCACATTGAGAGGCAGCACAGCACAGCAGTTGAGAATAAGGGTTCTGGAGCCAGTCGTGCCACTTCTTGGCTGTGTGTCCTTGGCATGTGCCTTTATCTCTATCTCAGTTTCCTCATCTATAAAATAAGCATGGTTATAGAATTGCTGCAAGAATCAAATGGTTAATATGTGCAATATGCTTAGAACAAAGCCCGGAGCATAGTAATCACTCAATATATGCTAGCTATTATTATCATATCATTAAAAATCTTTCAGTAATTGCTCAGCCTGGTCTTGGTCTTCAGGCAGATTGCTCCTGCATAGCCAGAAACAGTGAATAGGGAATTCGAATGCCTGGAGATTGTTAGGCACAAGACTGGGCTAAGGTTCCATAAGGTTAGCTTTCAACTTATTTGCATCTCTCAATCTCCTCCTAACTCATATATTCAGTAAGCATTTATTGACTGTCTGCTAAAAGCCAAGCAATCTGTTGGGGACAAAATAAAGATGAACAAGCTGCAATGATGAACAAACCTAGAACCCACAAAACAGGACTGAAAGTGGAGAAGGAAAGAGAGAAAGGCGAGCTCACATTGCTCTTCTGCCTGCTCCCAGCTCCCCATTTTAATCTACCACTTAGGGCTGTGTGGAGAATGGAAAAGGGAAGAAAAGGGGACACACAGAAGGAAGATTCCAGAACGATCTTATGATTGACACGAAGAGTTCATTGTGTCCTTTCCTGACTGCCTCCCATGCACAGATCACTGTCTACCAGTGTTAGGCAATAAAAAATTGAGGAAAAGCCAAACAGACTCAAGCTCTGCTTACAAATCTCCCCCAGGGCTACAGGGCTACACAATACCAGGGGCACTATTTACACTGTAGGAAATCATGGCCCAGAGCACCCATGCTGTGGAAGCCTATGTGAGTAGAACCTTCTGGAGCTGCGCAGTCCTGCAACCTCACTTCTGAGCTAAGTTTGCTTTTCTATGAAATGGGGATAATGATGAGAGTCATGGCCTGCAGGGCTGTGCGAGAACGACGGGAATTAATCCCAATACAGTAGTTGGCACACGGTAAGCGCTGTAAAGATGATAGCAGTTGTTGTGTGATGGGGATAGAGCTGGAAAGAAGGCAGGCTTGGACATACTCAGGAATCAAAATAGGTGGGGCATCATGACTTCGGTCTTTCACAGCCCATTTTCCTGTGTCCCAAAAGACACCCAAGATTGAAGCCTGCTGTGATGCCAGACTCAGAGTGAGAGCTTTCGTGACACTTACTAAATGAGAGGGTGAGTGGATGAACGAGTCTTTGGAAATCTAAGCTCAAACAGTCCATGGAAGTAGAACTAGAACCCTGATCCATTGCATTTCTTTGCCTCTGGCTGGTGAGTTCAAAGCGGTCACTCTGAGTTGATGATTGAACTTCCTTTTGAGTGAAGTAACTTGAAGGGGAACCATGGTTCAGTAGTTCTGTAGAAGCTTCATGGCTGAGAAATTTCGACATGCCATTAATTGAATCCTAGTTTAGCCTACCAATAAAACTCTTTGAAAAGCAGAAAGTGAGAAGTTTTACATGCTACCAGCAGCCAAGGGTCTCGTAACAATTGCCCAAGGACAAAGAATGAACTCTGTGTGAAAGCAGTATGACATGTTCTTTGCTAATCTCACTAGATTCTATGGTTACATTAGAGAACTGTCCTTTATTTATGCAAGAGCCCTAATTTCCACCGCCTCCAGCGACACCTCTTTTATTCACAGGCCTGGCGACCCCCACAGGCTCCTGGCTCAACCTGGCTCTGTCCCCAGGCAATCCAGGGATAAATCATCCCCAGAGCCAGGGGGGAAAGTTTGGAAATGTTCCCTTCTTGTTCACACGCTCAATTGAGTGTCCCCATTTTATTTCATAAAAGGGATCTGATTTGTCTGCTAGTATGCATTTTTACTTACCCAAGAGCTTGTCTAAATTCTTTTCTTCTCTTTCCTGAGCCAGTTTTGTGTTGGTTGCCTATTCACAGAAGGAAGCAGTGAGGGGAAGGGAGCTAGAACTCTGATGAATGGTTTACTTCTTGTTAGCAGCGACCCAAGTTAAACATTTAATGGTGGAAGCCGGTATGGACTGAGATGCCATTTGGGGGTAAATGCCTGGCTTCATATTTCCCGTGCTCTCTTTACCACTACTTGCCCCTTCGCCCCCTGCCCTGCCACACACGCACCATGTATGTCTGGGCCGGTTTTCTGCATAGTTGCCAGTGCTTATTTTTACACTCTCTAACATAACAGCTTCGAATATAAACACAAACATAGCCAGCATCAACGAGAGCATCTGCATAGGCCAGAGAGCTGAAACAGGCTCTCGGAAATGTGCTTGACATTTCCCTTGGCAGCTTCTCCGCCTCCTTGGAAAGCCCTGGGCCACCTCTCCGCTGCTGGCAAGCTCCGATTTGGGCGAGACGTTGGCAGGTGCCAGCGGAGGACAATAGGCTTTTAATTAAGGTCTGTAGAGCCAAAGCTCAAGAAACACCTCCTGAAGAGTTTCTTTTAAACATTCCCATTTCTTCTAACTGCCCTATGAACAATAACTGTATACTCCATCAAGGCAACTGTGGCCATGAATCTTGTATAGTGCAGAAATTGCTTGTAACATAAAGGTAATAATGGGATTTTTTTCCTTCTTATGTTTTCCTGTCTTTTTTTTTTTCCCTCCCAATAGCTTGAAAATTTGGTTTTAACTTTTATTCCTAGTTTGGGGCAGTTGTTTTTCCTATGATGATTCTGAATGTGATCATATAACTTGCTATTTCCATGCAAACATGCTCCGTGCAAAGTTCTCATTATATCTGACACTAGAATTAATGTAAACCTATTTTGGTAATGGCCGTATTTTGAGTCACTCACTTAGAGGAAGAGTTTCTAATATGGAGTCTGAGCCTGTTAAGCATCGTTGCCATGGAGACCGTGTGAGAGTTGGATTAATTAAGGCCCGAACAGATGTTGTGAAGTGTGCAGAACGCACTGTTTTCTGTTAGTAATTAAAGAGGTTATGTGTGTACGTGAGAGAGGAGGAAAAATAGAGACAATCAGAGACAAAGCAGTCAGACAGACAGATGTGTTGGCACTGGAAATGTAACCTTTCCTTCAGTAAAACCCACTGCTGATGACTCTGCTGACACTACTCTCTTTTCTCTTCCACCCATGCCAGACAGAATAATTGCTCGAAATGGCCAAGCAGCCATCCAACCTTCCTTTTTCAGTCTGATTTATAAGATGCATAGGAACATACAAAAACATGTTCTTGGATCA